AGACAAGATAGCCCAGAAAGGCCTTTTACTAACTGCTCCTTTGCAGAAAAATGTGTTGACTCCTTAGTCACACCCATCCTTATCTCCATTCCTCCAGTCTCTGAAATAGAATCCCCACCTTCCTAAGAATTTTTCTTTCACCTAAGCTATTAATTATCTTTTTCTTCTTAGGCTACTTTTTTTTTTATGTTACATATTAAAGTCTCAAATTCTCACTTTTTTCTTCTCAGATTTTCTTCTTCCAAAATGCTCAAGACCTATCCTACTAAAAAACCAACAAAAACCCAAACAAACTTTCAATTCCAAAGTCCACTTGTACTGCTTTTCCTCTCTGTATTCTTTATCTTTCATATATTCAACTTATTCTGAATTTCTGGCTCCATCGGTCACTTAAAATTAGTCTTTTTTTTTTTTTTGCTTAGGGTAAAGGGTTGCATTGCTAACCCAAAGGAACTCCAGTTGCACCTCAGGAGAAAGATAGGCGATCTCCTCTCTTGTGACTTATAGGCTCTGAAAACTTGCTTTAAGTCAGTTTTGAGTTGAAAGAATACAACAAAAACAAGCCTTTTGTGAATTCCTAACTGTTGGACTTTATTCCTAATCCTTGTCTTCCTGATGTTTGACATTTTTTATGATTCCCTTTCCTTTGACTTCTGAGATATTATCTTTTATTTCTCTTCCAACATCCTCAGTCTTATTGCACCTGCCAAAGGTTTTTTTTCTTTCCCCAGTTCTCTGAATAACAGTGACTTTCAGGGAACTATTATACTGTTTCTTCTCCTATACATATGATTATTAAGAACTAAAGGCAACTGGATAAGACCTAGTAACAATGTTAGCATCTTGGTTTTATATAATAGCACTATGGTTATATATGTTGTTAATATCGATGGAAGTTGAATAAAGAGTTATATAAGGAGGAAAAAAATGCTTTACACATCTCATTCCTAATCACAGATAGATTTTATTTCATCTGTGATACAAGTAAGGACTTTTGAGCTTACGTAATTTTATCAAGGCTACATGGTACATGTAAATATGTGAATATCCATGGTAAATATGGGACTCTGGTGCCCTAGTGGCAAGAAGCTGCTCTGCAATCCAGAAGGTGCACAGTTCGAGGCCACCAGCTGCCCCATGGGAGAAGGATGGGCAGTCTCCTTCTGTGCGATTAACTGCCTCTGAAAACCTGCTGAGGGTCAGCTATGGATCACTTCCAACCGTAAAGTACATAGCATGAGCAACAATTTGGTAAACGGCTGAACTAGAACCTGAGCTTGCTTTAGTATATAGATTGTGATTGCTTTGTGCTGTGGAGATTGAATTGACCCTCCAGTAACTTTGCTTGCCGAAAGAGAAGAGAACGTGAGATCAAGGACTATGGCCTTCAATATGCATTACATCTCAACATCAAGAAGACAGGTCCTTACCACTGGGCCTGTAGACAACATCATGATAGATGGACAAAAGACTGGAATTGTCAATGATTTCATCTTGTTTGGATCCACAATCAGTGGATACCCTTGGCATCAGTAGTCAAGATATCAAAAGATGTATTGCATTGGGTAAATCGGCTATCAAGGACCTCACCTAAGGAGTTAAGCAGTAATGATGTCAACTTAAAAACTAAGATGCATCTGATTCAAGCCATGATCTTTTCAATTATTTGCTATTCATCTGAAAGTTAGACAGTGACTAAGCATGGATGACAGAAGAATTGATGCCTTTGAGTGTGGTTTTGGAGAGGTGTACTGAATATCCACTGGACTGCCAAAAGAGCAAACAGATTTGTCTTAGAGAAAAGTTCAGTGAGGATGCTCCTTGGAGGCAAGGATTTGAAACTTCATCTCACATATCTTGGGCATGTTGTTAAAAGGAGCCAGCCCTTGGAAAAGGATATCATGCTTGGAAAGGTAGAGGGTCAGCAAAAGAGAGGAAGACCCTCAGGGAGATACATTGACAGTGATTGTAACAATAGGCTCAAATATATTAGAGATGATGAAGATGGCACAGGATAGGGCAAGGTTCAGATCTGTTGTTGTTCATGTGGTTGCTATAAGTCGTAGCTGACTCAGTAGCATCTAACATCAACAAATCACACAGGAGGAAATTGCCATCTTTCTCTTGTGGTGCAACTAGTGGATTTGAACTGCCTACCTTTGAGTTAGCAGCACAATTTCATACAACTAGGCCACCAGCACTCCTTAGTATATAGATTGTTGTTATGTGCTGTCAAGTTGGGACTGACTCGTAGTTGACCCTCCACTGTTGTAAAACGGGACTGACATCAGAGTTGAGGGAAGACAGAAAAGAAGGCAAGGAATGATGTATACTGCATTGAAACAGATGAGGGAGAGAACTATTAAAGGGATCTATGTACGGGTATTCTTGTCATTACAGAAGGCTGCATAGTAGAGTGGACTTGTGAGGGAAAGACTGCATAACAATGAAAGAGTTTTTCTTTCTTTTCAAGGAGAAGAGTGAATTGAGGGGGAGGGGTGGGTAGCTGGGCTCTATGAGGAGAAATGTGGGGTCAAGATTGGTGGACGATTTATCAACAACCTGCGTTATGCGGATGACACAACCCTGCTTGCTGAAACTGAAGAGGACCTGAAGCGCCTGCTGCAGAGTGTCAAGGACTGCAGCCTACAATATGGATTGAGGCTCAATGTCAAGAAGACAAAGATTCCCACCACTGGACCAATTGGCAGCATCAGGATGGATGGTGAAGAGATTGAGATTGTACACAGCTTTAGTTTGCTTGACTCCATAGTCAACAGTCTTGGCACCAGCAGCCAGGAAATTAAAAGGCGCATTGCCATGGGAAAGTCTGCTGTTAGGGACCTCTCCAAAGTACTGAAGAGCAATGGTGTCTCTCTGGAGATTAAGGTGCGTCTGATACAGGCTATGGTCTTTGCAATCACCTGTTATGTATCAGAGAGTTGGACAATGACCAGGGAGGATAGAAGGAGAATTGATGCCTTTGAGCTGTGGTGCTCAGAAGAGTATTGAGAATACCATGGACTGCTAGGAAAACAAACAGATTTGTCCTGGAAAGGGTTAAACCGGGTGGCTCCTTGGATGCAAGGTTTCTGAGGCTCCGTCTAACATACTTTGGACATGTTGTGAGGAGAGACTGGTCCTTGGAGAGGGACATCATGCTTGGGAGGGTGGAGGGACGGCGCAGGAGAGGAAGGCCCTCTATGAGGTGGATTGATTCAGTGACTGGGATAATTGGGATGGGAGTGTCAGAGACGGTGCGATTGGCACAGGACAGAGCGGAGTTTAGGGCTGTTGTACATAGGGTCGCTATGAGTCGCAGGCGACTTGACGGCACATAACAACAACAACAACAACAACATTGAGTAATTCTTTGATGAATTAATGAAAAGTTATGTAGTTGGAAATAATGGACTGAGGCTTTGGAGAAAAGTTAGTATATGCGCCCAAGTCAACAGTTAAAACTAAAGAGCAGATAATAACAACATGGACATCTGTATCTCATAGCTGATCCTCCAGTGGGGTTTTTTGGGAGACCGTAAATCTCATGGAAGGCTATTGCCCATCTAGTGGGTTCAGAATGCTAGAGAGGCTCTGCCTTTGGGTTAGCAGCACAGCTACCTACAGACTACACACTTCATTTATAGAATATTTTTCACAGATTTCTACATCATTTTCTACTCAAAAGTGCTGAGACATTTTAGAAATAAAGAACCTGAGGCTTAGAGAAGTGAGATGACTTGTTTAGTGTCTTAAAAACAAGTGCTGGAATTCAGTGTTCTGACACCAAGTCTTAAGGTACCTCCACTAACTAGTATACAGGAAGGTTTAGGAGATAAGCAGTAAGTTTAGGAATACACCCACACTTAAGGGCTTGGGGGAAGGTATGGCTCAGAGTGTCTCAAGAATAAGAGAATGAGGATCTTACAGCTATATTGTGGAGAACCTTTCAGAAAAGGAAAGCATCATCTGTGAATTATATTACAGTCAAGGAGAATAGGTGAAGATAAAAGGGCTTGACCAGGGGGAGCTCTGGTGGCCTAGTGGCAAGACGCTGCACTGCAATCCCAGAGGTACGCGGTTCAAATCCACCAGATGCTCTGCTGGAAAAGGAGGGGGCAATCTCCTCCTGTACCAGTCAGATCTGATTTGATGGTACACGTAAAAATAATGTAATAAAAATTTAAAAAGAAAAAAAAAAGGGCTTGACCATCAGCAAATTAAGAGAGTGAAAGTCAGTTTAAATGCAGTGAAGCCAGTTTACTGAGTGGACATTGAGGGGCAGTGGAGGCTCACTGTTAGACTGCTCTTTCTCTTTCTTGTTTGATTTTCAGCTGTTCTTTTTCAAGCTACAGAACTGACCATAGACTGCTCTTTCAAGAAGCTTGGTGGTAAAAATAAAAAATCAAATAAAAAACAACAAAACCCACAACAACAAAAGTTTGGTGGTGAAAGGGAGCAAAAGAGCCTGGTAGCTTGAGAAATGCCACATCACCAAATATTCTAAGAATTTTATTTTCTTTTGGACTTAAAATTTTGCAGGGGAAAACCATACTGGGAACATGGTTCTTAGTGATTGAGTTTATAAATCTCAGGATATTTCAAACTCAGCTTAATGTTGGTCACTACCTATCAAGGTATAATATAAGAAGGTAAGGTGTTTAATCAATCCTTAAAGTCAAAATTGAAAATAGGTAGCTGTAACAAACTATGTCAGTCTTTAGAAGACAGGTGTATACTAGAGTCTTAAAAATGCTTCTTTTATTTATTTAGAATAGTCATCTACTTCCAAGTTTATGTCTTCCTCTAGCTCATCATTTGTTGTTCAGGTATGATATGATCAATGGAAAGATTTATCTACTTTATTAAGAGGTTGTTTTCTGTGTTTATGATAAAACCCCATTTTATATTGTTCCAGTCTCCTTAGAGCCAAACATTTGGGAGAATTCGGCCCTAAGAAACTCATTTGTCCAATTGACGAGGTATACTCTGTCTGCCAGGTAAAGCGGTACCAGTGCACCTTTGAGGGCTGTCCCCGAACCTACAGCACAGCAGGCAACCTGCGCACCCACCAGAAGACTCACCGAGGAGAGTACACCTTTGTCTGTAATCAGGAGGGCTGTGGCAAGGCCTTCCTCACCTCCTACAGCCTCAGGATCCATGTGCGAGTGCACACGAAGGAGAAGCCATTTGAGTGTGACGTGCAAGGGTGTGAGAAGGCATTCAACACACTGTACAGGTCAGCCTCTTTGCCTGTTTGTTCCACCAGCCTCTGACCCTAATGTGATCACAGTTACAGTTCACTCTCTCTGCAAAAGATTGAATGTTCACTCAGGTCTTTAAAGAGCACAGCTGTGCTCAACTATTTAAAATTTTACTAGAAGAACTTGTTACCTAAAAATCAGCACATATACTGAGTTGGCTAGAGTTGTTGGTCATGGAGTGACAATCTGGCCTGGGAAGGTTAGAGTTTAGTATTGAGTAATATCTCTCCTTGGCTCAGAATTTTGGTGCTAAGGTGTCTATAAATTTTTTTCCCAGCTTCCCATGAAGATAAACCTTTTTTTCTACCCTGAGAAATGAGCTCATTCTGTAGTTGTTTCTCTTTGCCACTATTTGTATCAGGAAAGTTTAGTCTTCAACATTGGATATAAAATAACAATAGCCAACATTTATGAAGAATCTTTTGTATATTGTAAACTAGGCACTGTTCTAAGTACTCTTTACAGCAACTGATAACTAAAGCACACAATGGTTATGTAACAGGCTTCATATCTTCTGTCCAGTCTAGGACTAGGGTAGAATGTGAGTACAAGGCAGTGTACAGTAGACTCAAGTTCCTAACTACTGTCTACTTCTCAGATTTCTCATAGGGTAAAGAATTTTTGGATGCTAATAGAAGTATAGAATCCACTTGATTCTAAGGCACAATACAATGTCACAAAGAATTAGTATAGTATGAAAAAGGTAATTTCTTTGGGGTATCTTACAGGCTGAAAGCACATCAGAGGCTTCACACAGGGAAAACATTTAACTGTGAATCTGAAGGCTGCAGCAAATACTTCACCACACTAAGTGATCTGAGGAAGCACATTCGAACCCATACAGGAGAAAAGCCATTTCGGTAAGCCCTACTATTTTCTGCAGGACTGCTCATCACAGTTCAGATATTAGCTGGGTGTCTTTATCTATTTAAAGTTTTTTAGATAGAAAAATCCCTTTACAAATTCTTTCTTTGGAATTAAAACTGAGTAGTAGCGATGGATTCTAAAAACCTCACTCTGTGGATGAGTCTTTCGGCCCAATTTTTTCCCCTGTCTTTAATTTTCTTCTTCTTCTTATTTGATATAATATTATAATATTATTTCATAGACTTAACTTTTAGAGCCATTTTAGGACCTGGAAGTAGCAAAAGCCTATGTTTCTGCTCTGTTATCCTCTACAGTTTTCCTTATTTTTGTGTGTTTTACAGTAGTGTGGAACATTTGTACAGTTGATACGTGAATATGGATACATTCTTTTTTTCAAAATTTGATTATTATTAAAAAATTATTGTTATTTTAGGGAAAGTGTGCAAAGGATATTGTTTTTTCAGTCAATCATTTATGTACATTTTGTTCCATAACATCAGTGGTCATACCTACAGTGTCTTATTATCCATATTATCTTTCCCTTCACCCATGTTAATAAGTACTCATAATTTATTAAGTAATCATCTACTCCTCCTCTTCCCTTCTCTGGTAATCATTCTACTACGATTTTAGAATCCTTCCAGTATGATTCTCTCTATGGTTAAGCATTTCTTTAGCTTGTGCAAACCAAAACATCAATGAGATAACACCTCCAGCAACAACAGCAAAGTCAGTAAGCCACTGAACAACAAATTCTGGTGAGGATGTGTGAGATTGAAACTTCCATATATTGCTGGTGAAAATGTAAAATGGTATAACCACGGTGGAAAGCAGTCTGGTATTAAATAGTTTAAAATGGAAATACCATTTGGCCCAGCCATTCCACAGCTGAACATATATCCTAAAGAAATAAGAGCTGAGACACAAACGAGTATATGCACACTCAAGTTTATTGTATCATTATTTACATTAACAAAATACTAGATACAACCCAACTATCTGTCCATGGATGAAAATACGATAGTATTTTCCCATAATGGAGTACTATATAATATTGATGCTTTATTATTAACTAAATTCCAAAGTTTTCATTATGTTTCACTTTATGTGTTGTGTAGTGGATTTTGACAAAGGAATAATGTCATATCCATTGTTACAGTATCATACAGAATAGTCATTGTTTCATTGTTCAAAAAGTCTTCTGTGTTCTAGCTATATATTTATCCCTCTGCCATTCTTCCCAAACCCCTGGTAACACTGATACTAACTATGTGGTTTTGTCTTTTTCTGGAATGTTATATAGTTGCAATAATGCTGTATGTAGGTTTTTCAGACTAGCTTCTTTTACTTAACAATATACATGAAAAGTTTCATTTTGTCTTTTGTGGCCTAATTGCTTTTTATCACTCAATTATATTCTTCTGTCTATACCCCAGTTTATCCATTCAACTTTTGAAGGACATCTTCTTGCTTCTTAATTTTGGTAATTATGAATATGGCTGCTGTAGACATTTACATGCACATTTTCTGTAGATATAAGTTTAAGACCTGTTTTGGTAAATACCAAGAAGTGGAAATGCTGTTGTCATATCATGCATTTTCCACTTTTGTATTCCTGCTAGTACCAAATGATCATTGCTATTGCTGCACACCTTTAATAGCACTTGTATTACCAGGTTTTAAAAATTGTGTTTTAATAAATAGATGTATGTTGTTATATTGTTAAATGCTGTCAAGTTGAGTACAATTCATAGTGACCTGTGAATAACAGATCTAACCCTGTCCTATTCTGTGCCATCCTTACAGTCTCTGACACACTGGAGCCCATTGTTCAATCACTGTCAATCCACCTATTAGAGAGTCTTCCTCTAGTGATAACTGGTTGCTGTGTTCCTTTAATTTCTGTAATCATTTTTTTTTCAAACCTGTTGATGTGGAAAGTACTTTCATTGTTATTATGTGCTGTCAAATTGCTATTGTTGTTGTTGTTGTTATGTGCCATCGAGTCGCTTGCGACTCATAGCAACCCTATGTACAAGCCCTAAACACCGTTCAATCCTATACCAACCTCGCCATCTCAAACACACTCATTCCCACCACTCCACTCACAGAATCGATCCATCTCATCGAGGGTCTTCCTCTCCTGCACCCTCCCTCCACTCTCCCAAACATGATGTCCCTCTCCAAGGACCAGTCCCTCCTTGTAACATGCCCATAGTGTGTTAGATGAAACTTCAGAATCCTTGACACCAAGGAGCATTCTGGCTTCACCTTCTCCAGGACAAACCTATTTGTTCTCCTAGCAGTCCTATTAGTACTAGAGAAATATTACTAAAATAGACTTTCCGGGGGTGGGGGGGGAGGGGTTTGTGCGGGGAGAAGGGTGCAACAATGAACGAATGGAATCCCAAAATCTCTGTAGATATTCATTGAAATGAAAAATAAACAACCTAAATTAAAAAAAAAAAATAGACTTTCCTGTCACAAAACTTATATTTTCATGGAAAAGAATGACAGATAACCAGGTATTGTTGTGAGGGACCTCTCCAAAGTTTTAAAGAGCAAGGATAACAATTTAAAGACTAAAATATGCCTAATCCAAGCCAGGTTCTTTTCAGTTACTTCCTGTTCATCTGAAAACTGGACAGTGAATAAGCATAGCAGAACAAGAATTGATGGTTTTGGGTTGTAATGTTAGAGAAGAGTACTGACTATCCCACGGACTGCCAAAAGAACAAACAAGTCTTGTAGAAAGTGCAACCAGAGTGCTCCTTGGAGGCAAAGATGGTGAATATTGTCTTATATATTTTGGGCATAATGTCAAAAGAGGCCACTACATAGAAAAGAACATCATACTAGGAAAGGTAGAAAGTCAGAAAGAAAAGAGAAAGACCCTCAACAAAATGGATCAGCACAGTTACTGTAACCAGGGGTTGCAGTCCTTGAGGATATCATAAAATAGGGCAGGGTTCAGATCTGTTGTTCATAGGGTTGCTGTGAGACATAGTCCACTCAAAGGCACATAATGACAACATCTGAAACTGCGAAATGCCCAGAGGAAAGAAGACGAAGGATTGAGATAGGCAGGATAAGCTTGAGAGGAGGAGGAAAAGAAGGATAGGCTGCATAGGTTAAGTGCTGTTGTTACGTACCATCAAATCAGAACTGGCCTATAGCTGACCCTCTGCTGGGTTTTCAGAGGCAGCAAATAGCACAAGGAGATGGTTCATCTTTCTCCTGCAGAGTAGCTGGTAGATTCAAACAACGTGCCTTCAGGTTAGCAGCACACCTCTTTACCACTAGGCCATCGGAGCTCCCTACCAGTACTCAGTTGTGTTTCTAGTTAAGTGTTGATTTGTAACATCATCTGATGGCCTAATGGTCCTGACTCAGCCACAAACCAGAAGAATTGGGCCCAACTGGACCTCATGCACCAACAACAGTAACAACATACACATGTTTAGTATCATCCATTTTATTTTGTAAATGCATGTGTGTGAATTTTGTTTTCCAAATAAATAAACAAATGTATGAAGTTTAAAGAAAATTTGTATCTACTTTCTTCTTCATGGATATCTCCCGTGGACTGCCTAAAAAACAAACCTGTCTTGGAGAAATATAACTGGATGCTCCTTAGAAATAAAGATGGTAAAACTTTATCAACAACAACATTTTAGGAGGGCCAGTCCTTAGAAAAAGATACCACGTTGAGAAAAGTAGAGAGTTGGTAAAAAAGAGGAAGACTTTGAACAAGATGAATTAATACAGTGCCTCTAACAACAGGCTAAAGCATGTTGGAAATGATGAGGATGGTGCAAGATAGGGCAGGGTTCCAGTTTGGTGGTCCAAGAGTCATTATGAATTGTAGTCCACCTTATGACACCTAACAACAACAAAAACAGTAACTTTCTTCTAAGTTCATAGCACATAGCTCAGTTATGGGCTTTTAGTAGATACTCAAAAATTCAGTCCTGGGGTGATCGTATGACATTTATTATTAAATAGTCAGTGTTAGAATTACTGAAATTTGCCCCTAAATTATGTGTTTGAATTTTGACAGGAGATGTTACTGTTGTATTCTTGGAATTAAATATGTTCTATCTTCCTTTTCAAGTCATTCATTTCCTTATTAGGAGGAGGCTTAGAAACAACTTACAAATCTTCAGGAATAACGAGCTATTAAAGGAAATGGTATCTTTAAAATTATAGATTCATTCCCTCTAAGAGTGAGAGTGGTTGATTCTGTTTGCTTGCTTTCCAAATCCTATGAAATTTTAAGTTACTTTCCCTCCCATAGGCTGCTGTGAGCTGTCTGATTTCTTCAAATACATTTGTTTTTGTAGTAATTAAAACTACTAGTAGAGAGTCTTCTTGAATATTAAGTGAAACCTTAGGTATAATGATTAAATATATCTCTATCTATCAATCTAGCTATCTATCTATATTAAAATTTTTATCATCCATTTTGCACATTTTCTTCTCTTCTCCTGTCCATCCCCTCCCCTAGTCCACTTTACAATGCACCTCTTGTTCCAGATTGTTGTCATACATATAATGCATAATCATATATTCCTTTCGGACAGTTTTTCCCATCATCTGTTTCAGTTCACTGTTCATTATCTAGTCACTCTTTTCATATTCTGCCCCCAACTCCTGATGTCAGTCCTATTTCATAACAGCAATATTATGCAGTATTTTTCCTTTTGAGACTGAGATATTTCACTGAGCAGTGCCCTCCAGGCTTACCCATGTTCTATAATGGTTTATGAGTTCATTGTTTTTCAGTGGTGCATAATATTCCCTTGTGTGAATATACCATAGTTTTTCTATATATTTGTTTGTTGATGGGCATGTGAGTTTCTTCCATCTCTTTGCTATTGTGAATAATGCAGTAAGAATCTGTGCTGCAGTCTAGAAGACACACGGTTTGAATCCACTAGCTCTGCAGGAGAAGGATGGGCAGTCTCTTCCCATGTAATTACTAACTCTGAAAAGCTGCTGGAGGGTAAGCCGGGGGTCATTTCTGACTCACTGGTACACAATAACAACAGCAAACATGGGTGTGAACAATGATTATATTTCATTTAAAAGTAAAATGCGTTAGAAAAGCTTAGTATTTAAGGAAAGTATTATGATTTACAACAGTGCTTGTTAATTCAGTATAAATCATTATTGATTATCTGCTATGTGCCAGAACCATAGCAAATGTGAAGAACTACAAAGGAAAGTATTCATTGAGTTTACCATTTAGAAGAATAGATAAAAAATAGAAACAGAGATAATATAAAATTGAAGATGTGCGATACCATGGAAGAAATATATAAATATTTAAAGAATTCTGAAGAGGGAAATTTTTATTATCGAGAAAGAACATAAAGTAGATCTTGACACAGTAGGATATAGGTAAGTTGTTAGAGTCAGTATGCTTGACTTGGGAAAGGTATGTGTCAGGATTGTATCCTTTCTCCATACCTATCCAATCTGTATACCTAGTGTGTTGAGCAAATCGTTTGAGAAGTTGGACTATAAGGAGAAGAATGTAGCATCAAGATTGGAGGAAGACTCATCAGTAACCTATGTTATGCTATTATTGACACAACTCTGCTTACTGAAAGTGAAGAAGACTTGAAGCAATAACTGAAGAATTCAAAGACTATAACCTTCAATATGGATTACATCTCAACATCAAGAAAACAAAAAAATCTGTCCCATTGGAGCAATAGCAAGAGCATGATACATGGAGAAAAGATTGTTAAGGGTTTCATTGTACTTAGATCCACAATCAATACCCATGGTAGCAGCAGTCAAGATGTCAAAAGACATGTTGCTTTGGGAAAATCTGCTGTCAAAGACCTCTCCAAAGTGCTAAAGAACATATCATTTAAAGACTAACATGCTACTGATCCACGCCATGGTATTTTCAGTTACTTATATGAATCTAAAAGTTGGACAATGAGTAAAAAAGATCAAAGGATAAATGATGCCTTTCAATTATAGTGTTATCAAAGAATATTGAATATCCCATGGACTGCCAAAAGAACAGAGAGACTTTGGAGGAAGTGCAGCCAGGCTGCTTCTTAGAGACAAGACTGATGAAACTTCATCTCACATACTTTGGGCATGTTATCAGGAGAGGCCCAGTCCTTGGAAGAAGACATAATACTGGGACAGGTAGAGGGTCAGCAAAAGAGAATGACCTTCAATAAGATGAATTGATACAATGACTGTAACTGTAGCCTTGGACATGCCAGAGATTGTGAAATTAGCACAGGATGGAACAAAGTTCCAGTCTGTTATTTAAAGCATCGCTATTGTTGTAGTCAACTCTACAATGCCTAACAACACTATCAGCAACAATTTAATATTTCAGAGTCCCATGAATTGTTATTCCTCATTCTCCTGGCAGTAGATATTCCTTGTGGATGGACTCGCATTGCTAATAGGTTCTATTATGTAGTTCATGAAAAGGTCTGTATTCTCATCAGGATTCTCAACATATGCTTTACCTATAAGGTAAGAACTACTTATCTCAGTCCTATAGCTCCCTCTCATACTTTTTCCCCAAGGTCTTGTCATTATTCCCAACTCATAAAATCAGTTTGCGTCCATCTGATATTAGTGTTTTGAATATTTGTTTTGGTCTCTATGAAGGGTCTTGATAAAAGACCTAATGGTTAATGGCTGCTCTTTCTCTTTGCTTGAATGATTATTTAGGTGTGATCATGATGGCTGTGGAAAAGCATTTGCAGCAAGCCACCACCTTAAAACTCATGTTCGTACACATACTGGTGAGTTTAGGCTGTTCTTTTCTTGTTTTCTTTTCTTTTTTTAAAATTCTTCATTGAATCCATAAGTATTTCTAGTTCTTTTTGAGACCTGGTGATGAAGATGGAAGGAGCACTCTTAATCAGCTTAGCCTTCACCTGTAATTTTTGTGTTTTTTTTTCAGATTGAAAAGATCTGAAAGTTGGACTGAGGAGTCCATTCTTAAGAAGTAAAATCAATACAGAAATACTGTAAAAAGAAACCAGGGAAAATAACCTCTAAAGGAGTAGATTCATTTCCAACACTTTGTTCAGCATTACATTTTAGAACCGAGAGGAATATATATAATTTGTCCAGCTGTTAACAATTATTTCCTGAACCCTCATTAGCATATTTACTTCCTTGTGTTATAGGCAAGCAGATTTTTAAAAATCTGATTCAATGACTTTATGATAAAATTAACACTATTTTGTCATTTTTGCAGGTGAAAGGCCCTTTTTCTGCCCAAGTAATGGTTGTGAGAAAACGTTCAGCACACAATACAGCCTCAAAAGTCACATGAAGGGCCATGATAACAAAGGACATTCATACAGTGCACTTCAAAATCACAATGGAACAGAGGTGTGCAGTGTTTTTATCTGTTGCTTTGACTTGGACAGTAACTATTGTTTGTAGATCAGTATGAAAGGTTAAAACATTCTCTGTACATCTCTTGAGAGCTCTGGTAGCCTAGTGGCAAGAAGCTGCGCTACAATCTGGAAGGTGTATGGTTTGAGGCTACCAGACACTCTATGGGAGAAGGATGGGCAATCTCCTCCCGTGTGTTTAACTGCCTTTGAAAACCCACCAGAGGGTCAGCTATGGGTCAGTTCAATCCCAAAGGCACAAGGTTTGAATGTACCAGCTGCTCTGCCGGAAGAGGATGGATAATCTCCTTCAATGTGATTTTCTGCCTCTGAAAACCCATTGGAGGGTCAGCTGTGGTTCAATTCTGACTCAGTGGCACACAACAATGGTAGAAACGATGGTCCTAACACCAGAGGTTTACAATCTCTAGGTGCTCCTTAGAGGGTATTGTTTTTCTCTTTATGTCTATAAAATGACCTGTATGTACTTGAGTTTGAGACATAATTGGTAATTTGCTTCACACAGTCACAGTCTGTCACTGAAAAACCAGATAACGTCTGGAGTGTCTCATTCTTTTCTGCATACCAAAAGGTTTGAGAGCCCTTGCTTAAAGCTCAACCACAGTACCAGTGCTACAGAGTTTTAGGCTGTTTTGATTTTTCTTTACAAAGCCCCTGCTGCATAATTACCTCTTCCCTGCCTGACCTTTCTAGAGAGATCCTGGCATAAATGTACAGTTAATACTTCTAATAAGAGGATCCCTGATGGCGCAATAGTTAGGCACTCAGCTGCTGGCTGAAAAGTCATCAGTTTGAAACCACCAACAGCTCCAAGGGAGATGATGTGACAGTCTGCTTCTGTAAAGGTTTAATTGCCTTGGAGTCCTAAATGTTGCTTTCTTGTCTTGATCTTTCCCTGAACTTCAGGCTTGTGCATCTCAATCTTGACTTATAGAAACCCTTTTTTCTGGACTCTTCTCCATCTTGATTAATGGTAACTCCCTTTCTCTACTAGCAGAGGCCAAAAATTTTAAAGTCACCTTTGATGACTTTTTCCCTCCTCATGTTCAGTCAATCAGCAGATTTTAGCAACTCTACCTCAAAACTGTATCTAGAATCTGATCACCTCTTCTGATTATTTTGTTCATGTCATTGTCATCTCTTGTCCAAATTGTTATAGTAACCTACTGAGTGGTCTTTCTAGCATCCCCCTGATAAACTATTCTGTGTGTATCAACTCAAGTGATCTTTCTAAACCCCAGAACAAATAATGGCTTTTATCTGCTTGTGATTCTTTAGGAGCTTCTTGCATCAATTAAACTTGAATTCTTAAGGCCCACCCACTCAGTCCAAGCCTCTGACCTAATCAATAGCCACACTACTGTCTTTTTTTTTTGCCCCTTAAACAAGGAAAGCCCAGTTTTACCCCTGGATCTTTGTGCTTTCCATATCCCCTGCTTTGAACACATTCCCTAGATATGCACTTGTCTCACTTCTTTTGTCTTTTGGTCTCTGCATAAACACTGCCTTAGCTGAAAATATCCCTTAACTAATGAAAGCAGCATTCCCTGTCTCCCCAACCCCCAGTAACACTTATCATTATCTCTCATAACATATATATTTTTTGTTGTTGTCTGTAGGATTAAAAAAAACACCTAACTCTATTAGAATGTAAGCTTCCTGGGGACAAACTTTGTTTTGTTCATTATCCCTGGACCCAGAATAGCATCTAATCCATAGTAGATGCTCAGTAAATATTTGTTGCTTGCATGCATGCATGAATACAGGAGTATCTGATCCCTGTGACTAAATAGGGTAATTACATAAAGTATATAAATTTCAACAGACTTAGTAGAATCTAGAGTTCAGAGTTAGTGGTATTTGAATAGCAAATTCTCGATACGGCTTGGATAGGATTCTTCATATCCCTATATTAGAGACTCAATAGTATGAGGGGAGGAAGATGGACTTGAATCAAAATCACTGAGTTTATCTTCCACTGACTGTATCCTTGGACTGTTCTCTGGCACTATCTTACCATCAATTTTCTCATATTTAAAATGAGATTATAAAATAGTGCTTCAAGGTTTATATAAATGAAACACTACCACCAGGGAGGAACATACTCCTTAGAATAACCAATTCTGTTAGGTCAAACGAGTAGCATTTGCACAAAGATAAAGCCCAAAAGGGGTAGGATAGAAAGATTAGTAGAAATGAGAATTACAGAGGAAAGAAAGAGTGCAAGTACATTATAATTAATTTTATAAAACAAAATGTGTGTGAATGTCTGAATGGAAAAGCAATTTACTTTTTAAACTTTCACTCAAATCACAATGAAAAACTAAGGCTTGGGGAAAGAAACTAAGACTTGTATGCCAAATGAGTCATGAGAAATAATTTTTAAAATAATAAGATCAGTTGTATAAATATTCTAGTCTTGAGATAATTGAAGAACCCTTAATTTATTAACCTCCTTAAGAAATATATATAAAAAGAAAGATAAACTAGCACTGATGGCATAGTATGTAACATATAGACTATAACCAAAATGTTGGTAGTTTGAGTCCACCAGTCCTCCATAGGAGAACGATACACGGTCTCTCCCATAAGATTTACAGCCTCAAAAACCCAACAGAGGGTTACCATGACTCAAAATCAGCTTCACAGCAGTGGGTTTTGTTTTTGTAAAAAAAGGAGAGATTCTTCTAAAAATAACAGGACTTTTAAAATTGAAATAGCTTACACAGCCCTTGGTTTGGATGGTATATGCCTCCACATATGTAGACATTTAGAATCTTAGAGAGTTTGTCTAAATGTCTTATTACATAATCTGCTATAAAATCCTGATTTCTATTCCCAAATTAAATTTTTTCCCCTCTTTTACAGGATACAAATCACTCACTTTGCCTAAGTGACTTGAGCCTTTTGTCCACAGATTCTGAATTGCGAGAAAATTCCAATACAGTAAGTACACTTCTAACATGTTGTTAGGTGCCGTCAAGTCTGCTACAACTCATACTGACCCTGTGAACAGCAGATCTGAATTTTGTCCTGTCCTATACCTTACTCACAATCTCTGTCGTGCTCAAGCCCATTGTGGTAGTCACCATATCATTCCATTTCATGGAGGGTCCTACTCTCTTTTGTCATACTTCAAGTTTCCTAGCATGATGCCTGTCTCCAAGGACTGTTTCCTCCTGAAAATATGCCCAAAGTAGATGACATGAAATTTCATCATCCTTCACTCTAAGGAGCACTCTGGCTGTACTTCCTTGTGTAACATAGGTGCTAAAAGTAAAGGTACAATAATTGAGTACTTCTTTGGTGAAAAGCCCAGTCTTTGGTGGCAAGCCAGTCTTTAAAGTCTTCCAGGCTTTGTTATGTTCTACTACTGACCTTTGAATTTTCTGATAAGAGTCTTATAGGAAAGGTTATGCTGTCTGATACCCTTTGACAGGGTTGTCATTTGATGACCTCCTGCATGCAAAAAGTTCTCTGTTCATTTACCTTGTAACTCATTGCTGTTGAGTCAGAACTCATAACTCATCCTCTGGTGGGTTTTCTGGAGGTTGTAAATTGTACAGGAAGAGACTCCTTTCTCCCGAGGATTCACTGGGAGATTCAAAATGCCAGAGATGCACCACCTTTGGATTAGTGCAACTTCCTATAGACGATGCCCCCACAGCTCCCTCTTTCTTCATTTGTTGATATTGTTGTTTTGTACTCTTGAGACAGAATCAATTCATAGTTGACCCTCTAGAAGTTTTTCAGAGGCAGTAAATCACATGGGAAGAGAAGTTGCCCATCTTTCTCTCTGCGAAGCAGTTGGTAGATTTAAACTGTGAGCCTTTAGGTTGGCAGTGCAGTATTTACCATTAAGCCACCAGAGTATTTAATAGAAATACTTTGATAGAAAGTATTTGAATTGAGACTGAATGACTCAGAAGTACTGTGAAAAAATGTTTCTTTCTTCATGTGTGGTCAGTGGAATCATCTATAGCATGTTTCCATAGTGTCCCCCCCCCCTCAAAAATTTTGATTCTTGGCCCTCTCCCCAACTCTGTGAATCAGTTTTACAGGGAATAGGACCTAAAATTAATTTATACTAAACACCCTAAGGCCTAGTTTCTCCTTTTGGTAATGGCAGACTTTCTTTTAGCAACTAGCTTTTCCACAGAAAACAACAGTAAAATGCTAGTCACAATGCAAAAAACACCCGAGTATGGCCAAAAGCACACAGAAACTGGGAATATCCCTTGCCATTGGGTAAATGTTCACGTTTTAGTACTTCACACATCACATCAGAAAAAGGCCCAATTGGAACTAAATGAGATTACTTAAACTCTTTAAAAGCTCAGCCTCTCTACTTGAATGACTAGAGAACAGAGTTAGGTAAACATAGCACCTGGAACATGAGGAGGGATAATAAAGAAAATAGCTTAGGGGTCTATTATTTAGACAGGGCAGTGACGTAGGATTGAGGAACTTCTGCAGCCCTGATACCACCAGGTACAGTACTCTCATATAAGGGATAAAACCTCTTCTACAACAGTGTCTACCAGCAAAAGAAAGGAGCATCAAGTATGTACCATATCCCTGGCACCAGTATTCCAAAATGATTGATAATCTCATTTTTTAGTCTTTTGAACTAAGACCAAATTTCAAGAAACAGTTAATTGTGATTTCTTAAAAATGTTGCAAATTATTAAAAATCAAACAATACATTTTAGGAGTTTCTGAGTTTTGCTTCATTCAGATGCTTTGTTAAAGGGAATCTAAGCTGCTGCTAGGAAATGGCTCACTGAGCATTTTGTGTACTGAGCCCCAGGATCCATCCTGGTCTGAGCCAGCCCTCAAGAGGAGTTTTCTCCTTGCTTTAGGCCCCAGTAGACTCACCGTCTATGCTTGTCTGCTTCTGAGAGCTGCGCCTGTTTACTTAGGTACCTGGGATTTTTGCCCTGAATTCTGGTACTGACTAAGGAAAAGAACTTTCAGCACTTTTTTAAAAAAAAAAAAAACAACCAAGAAAAGGCAGAACGCAAACTCAATATTTTATTGAGGTGAAATATACAGAAAGGTCTGCATATCATAGATGTGCAGATTTGTGCATTAACAGTTTTCTATACCTATGTAACCAGCATCCAGATTAAGGAACAGAGAATATTGCCAGCACCCTAGAAGATCTCCTTACCCCTGTGCAAACCACTGCTTCTCCCTGATCACTGCTATCCTGACTTCAGACAACATGAGATTAGTTTTGTCTGTTTGTGCTTTTTATAATTGGACTTATAAAAGATTGGAACCATACAAATGATTTGAGCTTAGCTTCTTAACATTTTGAGATGTTAATTAATATTCTTGCATATGGTTATAGATCATTCATTCTCTTTCTGAATTGTTCTGTGCCATTCCGTTGGAACCAACCCATAGCTGACCCTCCAGTGGCTTTTTAGAGGGAGTAAAGTGTAATGGAAGAGATTACCCAGCTTTCTCTAAGGAGCAGATGGTGGAATTGAACCACATACCTTTGGGTTGACAGCATAATTCCTTAACAATAAACATTCACTAGAAGTGAGCACTGGTGACCTAGCGGTAAGAAGCAGAGCTACAATCCCAAAGGCATGTGGTTCAAATCCACTGGCTGCTCCACAAGGGAAGGATGGCCTGTCTCTTCCCATGCAAATTACTGCTTCTGAAAACCTGCTGGAGGATCAGCTACGAGTCAGTTCCAACTTGATGGCACACAGAAACAAGCCACCAGAGCTGCCTTCTACTATGTGAATGTACCAGTTTGTCCTTTCTGCTGTTGTTGGGCATTTGGATATTTCCTGGTTTGAAGTTAATATGAATAATGTTGCTTTGGTTATTCTTGTTCATATTTTTTGGAGGACAGAGGCCCTTTTTTTGTTTTGGGTTTGGTTTTTTTGTTTGTTTGTTTGTTTGTTTCTATACCAGGAGACAAACCCAGGCTGCCTGGCCATTCCTTCTTTTCAAAAAAAAAGATCTTCTTTTGTTGAGAATATACACAGCAAAACGTTTACCAACTAACATTTTTATGTGCACAGCTCAGTGACAGCAATTACATTCTTAAAGTTGTGCAACCATTCTTACCTTTTTTTGACTTGTTCCTCCCCTGTTAACAATAACTCAGTGCCCCCATGGTAAGGAATTACCCTGCCAACCCAAAAGTATGCCATTTTAATCCACCAGCTGGTCCTCAGGACAAAGGTGGGCAGTCTCCTCCTCTGTAACTTACAGCCTCAGAAAACCTGCTGGAGGGTCAGCTGGGAGTTGGTTCCAACTCAGTGGCACAGCACAGCAATAACAACTGCTCTCTAAGTTTCCTGTTTTTTGAGTTGCTGTTGACAAAGTGACACCATTCTCAAAACACTATAATGATCAAAATAGACATTTTAACTAGGTAAGCTCTCTCATTGATATTGAATCAGAACTGACCCTCTAGTGGGTTTTTTAGAAGCTGTAAATCACAAAGGAAATTGCCCATTTACTGCCTTGGACCATCTGATGGATTTAAACCTCTTGCTGTTGTTGGTTCTGTACCTCAGTGCAACTCCTTGCCCACTAGGGCCACCAAAGCTCTTCTAACTAAAAAGCTAGTGTGTTATTTTAAAAACACGGGATATTTTTAGTGTGGTTTTAAATGTTGAGATATTTTAATCTCATTAAATACTTTGTTGTACATAAGCAACCTCAACAGGTACTCTTTTTGTTGTTATTGTAAATATATCTATGATTTAATTTTTTATGGTTTAAATGTTTTATAAGTGTTAAACTTACTGACAACAATTATAACATACAACTTATAGTATAAAACTATACTTAATGTGAGTTATTTTTTTTAATCTCTGATAAATGCCTTTCTTTCCTTTTCTCTTACCCTGTTAACCGTTAGTAAGCTGTAGTCATAATACCTGTATGTAAAAATGACATGACAGGAACATGTGACTTCCCCTCAGGAGGAAGGAGAATCAAGATCAGTCTGTTGCTGATGCCTGTGAGGCTGTCAGACATGCCTGCCTCTCCCAACCTTTTACAATTCCAACACCTCTCATTGTATTCTCTACTTCTCTGCTTCAATAATTCATAGAAACGAACACACATACCTCAAAGGCAATATTTATGGGGTTTATTTGGGAATATTAGGTTACAGTTCAGGATCATGATTTCTCAGGATACAGATCTTCCATCAGGGCAGTCTATTCTCAACTGAGTATGCTTGCAGGCCTTTCCCTGGTCCCCTTGGGGCAGGATTGCCTGTGCAATCAGTCAAGTGTTACAAAGCTCTTGAGCTCCACTGAGAGGTCACCTGAGGCACCTCGCTCTGCCAGCAAGCCTTCTGCCTTAATGTGCTCAGCTTTTGTTGCCATTTCTCTGCTGTTATTTTCACCATCTCTTACTCACTCTGATCTCCTCTTGCTGTCTACTGGATTTAGGACATTTCCAACAAGGGAATCCTAAATCCAAAGGACGTGTTCTACTTCTTTTCTCTTCTACTTAGTGATAGCCAGTTGTGCCCTCACTGCTGACTTCCCCCTCCTGTTACCTCTTATAAGAGAAAAGATGCGACTCAAGCACGGATGTGACTATGAGTAAGGATGGTGACTTCAGTCATATGTTATAGTAAGGTATTGACTAAATGATACTCACCTTACTCATTGTTGTGTAGTTGATAGTAATTCATAGTGATCCTACATTGGGTTTCCAAGGCTAAAAATCTTTATGGGAGACGACTTCTCATTTTTCTTCTCTGAAGCACTTGGTATATTTGAATTGCTAACTTTTGGGCAGCCAGAATGAACTAAGCCACTCGGGCTTCTTTGACTAAAGACACATCCATTCTAATCCTGACTCATTAAGATAATGGATAATTCGGGGTGGGGGGGGTGTTTGTGCGGGGAAAAGGGTGCAACAATGAATGAATGGAATTCCAAAATCTCTGTAGATGTTCATTGAAATGAAAAATAAACTAATTTAAAAAAAATATATATATAATGGATAGCTCACTTCCCAATAAAACCATGATTATAGGCATAAAGGCTAGAGTTTCCAACATACCATAAAATGAAGGTCATCTATCACAATCACATAGGGAAAGATAACTACATTATTACTTGATTACTAAGCTACTGAAAATTAGGGCCAAGTTGATGCAAACCTTAACCTTTACTTGTTCTGTACACTGCATTTGCATTAGTTGCAAACTATCTAATCCTTTTGGTAGGCCTCATTTATGAAGTCCCTCCTAATCATTGTAAGGGAGTCAGAAGACTAGCTAGAAAGATCATGCTAAATACTACACCACAATTTGCTTTTTCTTTTATCTTTGTCTTTTTGTAATGGATTTAATTCCCTCAGTGTAAAGTCTTTATGCTTAGTTCAAATTGTCCCATATATTAAGACTCTTCTGACTAATATTCCTGTGTGTGTGTGCCACATTTTTTATATCCATTCTTCTGTCTTGAACAGTTAAATTGTTTCCATCTTTCTGCTATTGTGAATTCTTGTCTGCCTTTGCAAGCATAATGTCCTTCTCCAAGGACTGGTCCCTCCTGACAACATGCCACAGTATGTGAGAATGAAGTGTCACTATGCTTGCCACCAAAGATCACACTGGCTGCACCCATTCCTTACTTGTTTGTTCTTTTGGCAGTCTTCTTCGGGATGTTCAGCAATCTTTTCCAACACCACAACTCAAAGGCGTCAGTTCTTCTGTCATCCTTTTTGTCAATTTTCAGATGCATAGCAAGTAATTGAAGAGATGATGGTTTGTATCAGGTGAACCTTTGTAATGTTAAGGGTTTATTGTTCAGAATATCTTCCCTCACCTATTGACTGACTGTGCTGTGTGGATATGCAGGAATATGTGATTAGGGTGTGTTAGCCTGTCCATGAGAGATGGGCCAGTCTCACCAGTCCACAAGGGGATTCACTAGTCTCGCCATTAAGTTGAGCGGGTCCAGCAGCAGAATTGGAGAAACTCACCTACAGCAAAGAAGAAGCAAGAGAATGTAATGCATCCTTCAGCACCAGAGATTCTGTGTCAGCTAGATTAAGGCTTATGAGAGCAACAGCCAAAGCAACCTCAGTAGAGGACCAGAGACTTGATGTGAGAAGGAGTGGACCTTCAGCCTGCTATGCCTGAACCAGAGCTAAGAGCCTTTGCCCAATTTTGTTGGACAATTGGGTGGGAGGAGCCATAATTGGCAATACTGAGAGCTTGGTAACACTGGTCTAAAAACCGAGGCTCAAGGCTAGGTACCTGACTGAGTGATTGCATTCTGCTGTTAACCTGAATTATAGCCCTTTTGTCTTCCCTAATATGGTTCTTTGTGTGTGCTATTGCATTGGATTTTAGACCTAGTAAAACAGTAAGATTGGTATTGGGATGAGTAGACAGATGTGCACTAGAGTGAGGACATGTGTGACCTTATGGGAAGTGGTTTTGTGTTGTTGATGTTGTTAAAGGTCAGATATGACTATCCCCATGCAGCCCCTGCTCTTTTTACTATCTTAGTCTTGAAACTGACATCTTTGCTCTTCAGCACTTTGAAGAGGTCTTTGACAGTACACTTCCCAACACAATGCATCTTTTAATTTGTCTAGTTAACATTGCTGTAGGAGTTTCTGTTTTCAAGTCTTTTGAGTATATGCCTAGAAATTACTAGTTCTGTTTTTGTAATGGTAGTTCTATGGTAGGGAGCTCAAGTATCCTAATGGTAAGAAGCTGCTCTGCAGTCCCGAGGACATGCCATCCAAACCCATCAGCTGTTCTGCTGGAGAAGGGTGGGGAATCTCCTGTGTGATTTACTACCTCTGAAAACCCACTGGACCATCAGCTGTGGGTTAGTTCTGACATGGAAGCACACAATAACAACTACAGTTCTATTTTTAGATTGGTGAGGTTTTTTTATTCCTGCATCAAATTATTTTTTCATTTGTTCTTGGTGCAATGGGAAAGATAGGTATCTGCACCTGAAATTACTCTAAATTGTGTCATTTTGGTTTTTTCTCAATTTTTAAATGTTATTATTATTTTTAATAATATACACAACAAAACAAACAGCAGGTCAGCAGTTTTTACATATGACATTTAGTTAATCTTTGCAATTTTTTTTTAATCTTCACATAAATATGCAGTCCCATTTTAAAAAAACAATGACTCCAGTATTCAGAATTTGGTCTTACAGAACAGAGGTTAACAGTTTCTCTCTGCCCCCTGAAAAATGAGATTCTAAATCCTTAGACACTGCATACTGTATGTGTGTATTACAACTCATCAACTGTGGTGTGTGGTACACATACAACTGTAGACAGTGCGTTTAAAAAGGCATATGCCCATCCTAGTAAAACCTAATTGACTAAATTGGATAGCTGGACTGTAAGTCCAACAGATTCTTTGTTTCTGAGATTTAAGAATATACATTACCTTGAAATAGGGTAAGATAGAAACAAGATCTATCAGGGTTTGCTGCTTTGCATACATCTCACATAGTGGAGAATTACTTTACATACATTTGTATGTCTTTCCGGTACAGGGCCAGGACCTCAGCACAATTTCACCAGCAATCATCTTTGAATCTATGTTCCAGAACTCAGATGATGCGGCAGTTCAGGAAGATCCTCAGCAGACAGGTTTGCTATTTATTTTTTTTTCATGAAGACAAAAATTTATTCTATGGAGTTCTAGGAACATGATGTTTTAATACAGCCATTTTAATTCCGTTGTTTTTGTTTCCCCATTGCTACCTTTTGTGGGCCAGTTCTAATTGCCTATTCTTAGAAATTTCTAAAGTGGCCAATTTTCTGAATCTGTATTTTTATTGTCCTCAATTTTTCCATCAAAAGCTAGCTTAACCTTCTCTTACATTTTTTTCTTTCTTTTTTTTTTGTTTCCTTTTTTAAAAAATTTATTATTAATTTCAATGAAAATTTACAGATACTTTGGATTTCCATTCATTCATTGTTGCACTTTTCTTCCCTGCCCACCCCTCTGCCCTAGTACACTACGCTCTTGGAAAAGTAAAAGAAAAAGTCTTTCGTTGTTTTACAAACCCTCCCCCAGGTCCACTCAATATGTAGCCTTCGCTCCGGACTCCTGTCATGACAAAAATACCTAATCACATATCCCTTTTAAACAGTTTTCTCCCTCATCTGTTTCAGTGCACTATACATTATTGAACCCGTCTTTCTCAGTCTCCCCCAACCCCAGGGTCAGTCCTGGTTTACAACAGTGGCACCATGCAGTATTTGTCCTTTTGTGACTGAGACACTTCACTCAGCATAATGTCCTCCAGGGTCACCCATTTTAAATAATATTGCATGAGTTCCTTGTTTTTCAATGCAGCACAGTATTTTATTGTGTGACTAACCACAGCTTCTTTATCCATTCGTTTGTTGATGGACACTTGGGTTGTTTCCAACTCCTCACTATTGTGAACAAAGCCGCGATAAACATGGGTGTGCATATATCTGCTTGGATGTCAGTTATGGTCTCTTTGGGGTATATTCCCAGTAGTGGAATTGCTGGGTCAAATGGTATCTCTATTTGCAACTTTTTGAGAAAGCGCCATATCGCTTTCCATAGTGGTTGCACCATTTTACACTCCCACCAACAGTGAATAAGGGTTCCAGTTTCTCCACAACCTCGCCAGCATTTGCTGCTTGCTGTTCTGTTAAATTTTGCTATTCTGATTGGGGTGAGATGATATCTCATAGTTGTTTTGATTTGCATGTCTCTTAGAGATAGGGATTTTGAACATTCTTTATGTGTTTGTTGGCCATCTGAATGTCTTCTTTGGTGAAGTGTCTGTTCATATCCTTTGCCCATTTTTCAGTTGGATTATTCACCTTTGTCTTGTTGTGGTGGAAGTCACTGTCTTTAATGTGCTTGTTAACTTTGAAAGAATGAGAGGCCCTGTAAGCTCTCCCCATTTCTGACTTGGTACCCAGTTGCTGAGCAGATATGTAAATCATTTTGAGTTTGAATGAAAATTTGCTTATGAAGCTTCTTTATGATGGTCAGAAAGTCAGTTCAACTGGTCATTCCTTACTCTACCCCACCCTATCCACCAAAAAAGGATATCTGTTTCCCAGGAAAGCTGTAGGACACAAGTTGGGGGTTTTTTTTTATGTATTTATTTATTTTTTTTTTTTTTATTTCATTATTTTTGTGTGTATCGTCAAATCAGATCTGACTGATACAGGAGGAGATTGTTCCTCCTTCTCCAGCAGAGCATCTGGTGGATTCGAACCGTGTACCTCTGAGATTGCAGTGCAGCTTCTTGCCACTAGGCCACCAGAGCTCGCCGTGGACACAAGTTTTTACGGTTAGAACTATACTGGGTTTTCACACGTAGACAATGGTGTTGATAAAGCTTAGTACTTGGACCACAGATGCCATTAAATTAAAAGCAGAAAGACAGCCTGTTGGAAGAGAAGTTGGCCCTAATGGAATTAAAATATCTTCTATGTGGCCCATAATAACTGTATTTTTATGACTTGTACAAGGCGTGGGATATGTATATATGCTTCTCTTTCTTTTTCTTGCCAGCTGCCTTGATTGAAAGTTTTAATGGTGATGCAGAGACAGTCAGTGATGTTCCACCATCCACAGGAAGTTCAGCGTCTTTATCTCTTCCACTTGTACTGCAGCCTGCCATCTCCGAGCCACCCCAACCTCTACTACCAGCCTCAGCACCATCTGCTCCTCCACCTGCTCCCTCCCTAGGAACTGGTTCCCAGCAAGCTGCATTTGGCAACCCCCCTGCTCTTTTACAACCTTCAGAAGTGCCTGTTCCCCACAGCACACAGTTTGCTGCTAATCATCAAGAATTTCTTCCACAGCCCCAGGCACCACAGCCCATAGTACCAGGACTTTCCATTGTTGCTGGGGCTTCTACATCAGCTTCAGCTGTGGCAGCACCTCCACCCCCACAAAGTACTACTGAGCCCCTGCCAGCCATGGTCCAGACTTTGCCTCTGGGTGCCAACTCTGTCCTAACTAATAATCCCACTATAACCATCACCCCGACTCCCAACACAGCTATCTTGCAGTCCAGCCTTGTGATGGGAGAACAGAACTTACAGTGGATATTAAATGGTGCCACCAGTTCACAACAGAACCAAGAACAAAATGTAAGTAATACATATAAATGTATTTGGTCTGGTGAAATCTGTTTACAAAGATGGCATCAGTAAGAACTTTTACTTCAAATGGAGTGATTATCATATCTGCCCCAAATCAGGTGCTTCTATTACTGATCATTTTCCCATTGTTGATTAGTGAGATCTAGAAGACGCTGTGGTCACTGCCTACACTAGGAGACAGAGAAACAATCATGTTTACATAGGTGTAGATAAATCAGTTCCAGAGGCCCAGTAATGCTACAGAGAAGCTGATTCTCTCCAAGTCAGAGTCAGGTTGATGGAGTGAAGAATGTGGTTCAGTCAGATGGAACCGGACTGGAGTGGCTATAATCTCTGTTCACAGCATGTACTGGAGAACCATTTTCTAAGAAAATGTTTCTAAGAAAGGGTTTAAAGTTCTTCAGCTAAATAAATTTGAGAGCCTTGGGTTTGCCAGACAACACACTGGAGACTCTAAGGGATATAGAAAGGTGAAAAACAATGATCTCTTCCTCATAAAGACATTTGAAGTAGAGAGACTAAAATGTCTGAAAAGAAGTTAAATATAAGGATAATGAAAAACTAACACTAGCTATTGTTTATTGAGCCCTTACTATGTGTCACACACCTTGCTAACTTAGCACATTTTAATGTATTATCACTTAATTCATAACAGTTGTAGCATGTAGGTGCCATTTTGTCTGTGGGGTTAAGAGGGTAAAATGACTAGCCCAAGATCACATAGCTCATTAGTAGCAAAGCTGGAGTTTGAAGCCTGTGCCCTTGACTTTGTGTTGCCGGAAGTGTGAGGAGTTGCTGTTTTGCCATTGAGTTATTTGACAAAAAGTTGAAACTGACCGATAGCTAACCCTTCAGTGGGTTTTCAGAAGCGAGGGAGGTGATTGCCCATCCTTCTCCCATGGATCAGCTGGTGCATTTGAATTGAGTGGCTTTGGGATTGCAGCGCAGTTTCTTACCACTGGGCCACCAGAAGTCCCAGAGGTATGAGTAGGGATTAAGTTAAGGGTAGGAAAAAGGGATGTTCTATATGAAATATGTGGGTAGATGTATGACAGTATCAAACAAACTAGAAAAGTAGTTTGGAGTAAAATAAGGAGAGACCTTGAGTTCCTAAAGTGGGATATCAGCTCTGGATACAATTTCAGGTAGCCATAGTCATTGGAAGGGCCTTTCTAGTGTTGTGACCCAGTCTGCCTCCCTGTCATCTTCGTCAGTCTTGTCTGTCTCTACCCTGGGGATCTGCGTGGAACAAATGTATTTCTCCTCTGTGTAATTAATTGTATTTAAATGTACTTTTCTTTGTCTACCATTATTTTCATCATTTTTTTAGTGTCATCTCCTATAATTTAGACAAAAGCTTTCATTTCCCTCCCAGAGCTATCTTACAGCACTTTTTTCCCTTACAGAGATAAAAGACAAAATACATTTAAGATAAAAGTTAAAGGAAGCAGAAACCCTTTAGCTAGTTTAATAGGAAATGATTTTGTAGGCATAATTTAGGATAGAAGAATTGATGCCTTTGAGCTGCGGTGCTGGAGAAGAGTATTGAGAATACCATGGACTGCTAGGAAAACAAACAGATTCATCCTGGAAAGGGTTAAACCAGGTGGCTCCTTGGAGTCAAGGATTCTGAGGCTCCGTCTAACATACTTTGGACATGTTGTGAGGAGAGACTGGTCCTTGGAGAAGGACATCATGCTTCGGAGGGTGGAGGGACAGCGCAGGAGGGGAAGGCCCTCTATGAGGTGGATTGATTCAGTGACTGGGATAATCGGGGTGGGAGTGTCAGAGACAATGAGATTGGGACAGGACAGAGCAGAGTTTAGGGCTGTTATACATAGGGTCACTATGAGTCCCAAGCGACTCGATGGCACATAACAACAACTTAGTAACAAGCAGCAAATGTTTATTAAACACTTGCTATGCGCCCAGTGCTCTGTGGGCATCATCTCATTTAATTCTTGCAGTTGTCTTTTGGGAAGTTCTTTGGTTTTCACCCCAATTTTTACAGATGGGAAAACTTAAAGCTCTAAGAAGTTTATATAACTTGCCTGACGTTAATAACTGATGAATGACAGAATTTGAACTTGAGTCCAGGTATGGCAGACTTCAGAGCCCATCTTTTATTTTAACATTTTTCCTGTGTAACTTAAAGCCTACTGTCTGTGGTCTTCTGCAATGAGGAGCAAGACACTGGCTGCTCTGGTTTTGAGAGGAAGCTCTTGCTTGTCTTAGCATGCACCTTTGTTCATAAGAAGAACTTTCCAGCCTCCATAGAAGTATTGGCTGGGTGAGGACTAGAGAACCTGAAGAGGGATAAGCAGCCCTGAACTTGCTTTGAGAAGACATCAGCTTGAGAAAAGCAACTTTGTAAGGACCTCTGGGCACACAGAACTTACTGAGATAGGCAACTAGGGAAGCAGCCAAGTTGTAGGGTAGCTGACTGCATTGTCAGCACTGAATGTCAAACAGTACAGTGACCTCATGTCAGAGTACAAACAAAACATCATTCAGTACAAAAATCCCTGGGCACTGAGGATTTTGTGTCATATTGGGTGACCATTAACAGCTGGGGAGGCTTTAGGTCGTTGAAAATCTGCTAAATTTGAGTGATCATAAATGTAATTTTTTTCCCTTAGCAGCAAGCACCTAAAGTTGAGAAGGTGTTTTTTACCACTGCAGTACCAGTAGCCAGTAGCACAGGTAAGCAACTTTGTATTAGCTTTAAAAGAAAACATACTCTCTGGTCCCTTGAGAGATTAATTAATTATTACTCCTCCTTAGTCTTAAAAACTTTAAAATCTTCGAGCAGCATCAGTTAACTTTTTTACATTATGTTGTTTATTGTTTGCTTATTGGAATTTTATAGTGTCACAGCTATTGGAAGTCAAACGATATCTGATATAAATATCCCGTTTAACATTCCTGAACTAGTGGTTCTTTTTCTTCCAGATAAAGCTTTTAGATGTAACCAGAAAACATAATAATGCTAAAGAGGGTAGTTGTTAATTCAGTGATTTCTTTTCTAATTATCTCACTGCCTGCAGAGTTCATTCAGACTCAGGCGACTGTCTCACCTATGCCTCGTGGAGTTATTGGTGGGTTCAAACTACTGACCTTTCAGTTAGCAGCCCAACACTTATCCTTGTCTGCCACCGGTATACTTGCAGTGATGAAGAAATAGCACCTAGTCAGAAACTGATATAGAGCAGAGAGGTATCTTCTTTCAAGCCCTTTACTTTACAGGTTCAGAAGCTGAGGCCTAGAAATAATAAATGACTCTCAGGGTCACAGAGAGAACTGTAGAAGAGTCAAACTCAGGTGCTCAGACCTCTGATCTCCCTTCGACTCTAGCTCTGGTGAAACATAATGGCTAACTCCACATACAACACGCATACAAACGAGAGAATGCTCTCACCCAGGAAGAACAAGGGTTTGATGCCACCTCTTGTGTGTCAGGCATTCATTCCTTAGATAACACAGACAGTGTAAAGCACAGCTACTAATGGAAAGTTAAGCTGTCTGCACCCATCTAGAGCCACCTCAGAAGAAAGGGCTGGCGCTGTGCTTCTCTAAGATCACAGCCTTGAAACTCTTACAGAACACAGTTCTGCTCTGCAGCATATTGATTACCATGAGTCGGAATTGACTTGACCGCAACTAGTTACAGTCCTGGGTAGCAGAGTTTGTGCTTAGCTATTAACCTAAAATTGCAGTTCAAACCCACTTGGCAGTGCCGCTCAAGGAAGAAGGGCCTAGCAGTCAGCTTCTATAAAGATTCCAGCCAAGAAAACCTGTGGAGCAGTTCTGCTCTGAGCATGTGGGAATCAATTCAGCATTGGGTTTGGGGGAGTTTTGTAGCCACTGGGGCTACAAAAATGAGTTAGATATTAGCCAGTACTGAAAAGAGCTGTGCAGTGGGAGACTAGTGTGGAAAGAACCAGGTAGAACTGTGGGTGTGTCCCAGATGCTCACATGTCTTTTCTAAGAAAAGAGTTTTGTCTTGGAGTTGCGGGAATGTCAGAGACTTTTTACGTAAGAGATAATAAGGTCTGATTTACAGCAGAACAAAGCCTGGAACATAGCACCCACTGTTGCTACCTCTTTACCACTCCACCTCACCTGGTCTCTATACCCTGTCCCTCATGCACCTCCCTTGTGGCCACTTGAAGAGCAGTCTCTCTCGCCTCTTTCGCAGGGAGCTCTGTACAACAGATTGGTCTCAGTGTTCCTGTGATCATCATCAAACAAGAGGAGGCCTGTCAGTGTCAGTGTGCATGCCGGGACTCTGCAAAGGAGCGGACTTCTAGCAGGAGAAAGGGCTGTGCTTCCCCACCCCTTCCAGAGCCCAGCCCCCAGCCTCCTGATGGGCCCAGCCTACAGCTGCCACCACAGACTTTTTCCTCACCTCATGCCCCCCTGTCATCATCCTCCACTCTACCCTCTTCCCATGAGCAAAACAGACAAGTAGATACTCCTTCAGACTCTCAAACAGAAACGTTAAGTGCCATGGATATGTCAGAGTTTCTGTCCCTCCAGAGCCTGGATACCCCATCCAATCTGATTCCCATTGAAGCACTACTGCAGGGGGAGGAGGAGTTGGGCCTGACCAGCACCTTCTCCAAGTGAAGGGTCTGTATGTGCTCACCCCCAGGAAAAGAGGGCGAGCTGAAGGTATAGATGCATTGCCGGCCATCTTGAGGTCAGAAATTTGAAGAATGAAGAAATCTACTGTTTGAAAATATCACCTTTCAGACGTGTTTTCTTTATTCACAACCCAAAAGGATCTGTCTTAAAGAACTAATCTTTGGGGGAAAAACAAAAACAAAAAAGCGCTAAGTTATAAATGAACTGTTTGGCTGCACTGTATGTCACTTTTGCTTATTGTCATGTGAACATGGAAATTAAGGTTACTCGTATGCATAAAAATTCTAAATGAAAGGGTGTGGTTTCCATCAGTCTGATCTTGCCCATCACTTGCACTGGGGTCTTTGTGGTGTGGGCAGCAGAGATCATTGTGCTGGTTGTAGCTCCTCCCTGTGTGTCTTTGGAATTGGAGACTAATGCTTGCTCAGGACAGACCTTCATTCTGTCAGAGAGGGAGTGGCAGAGGCAGGTCAGTTGTGAGATGGACAGAAGTTGGGTGTGATGGCTTTGCTGTTTTTGCTTGTCCTTGTACTTGAGGATAGATAGTGCAGGGGTCATCCTGCAGACAGCTTTGACACAGTGAGCAATTGAAAAGCTGGCCTATCATCCATGGAGATAACCTGGTTTTGCAGGAGCCCTAGGCAGGTTGGTGACTTCTCGATGCCCATGACATGTGTACAGAGCAGACTTTAGCAACAAGGTCACAGTCTTTGCCTCCTTGGTTCTTTCTCTGTCTCAATGTCTAGTGTTTGCTGAGCACAGTGAATTTGAGTAGCCACGGGGCTCATGGCCAGAACTGTTCAATGGTATGTCTTTCCTTGACCTGTAGCATTGCTTCCTCGGAGCAGGAGGACTACATTTTGCTGATGAAGAGAAGGTACAGGTTTAAGGGAGTTTATTAAAAGTGGCATATGCTTCGCAGACTAAATATCTGGTCTCAAGTTCTAGCCAGTGTTTGATTGCCCCCTTCCATCTCTACCCTTTTTAACTGCCTGAATTTTGCATACAGATTAGTACAGTGCAAATAAGGATGTGACTTGCTCAGCTTAATCATACAATTTCTAAACAAAAAACAAAGTTTAAAAAAAAAAAAAAAACTACAACAATCCACAAAGTGATGATCTTCTACTCAGGGTAAAGCAAAAAAAAAAAAAAAATGTCCCTTCCACCAAAAAGCCTGAAATGTTGCAATAAGTTAGCTCATTTGGAATGTTTCATTAAGTTGTGTTATAGGGAAAAACCCTTTTTCCTTTTTTTAATTCATGCATAGAATTATATCCATCTGTCTGTATTTGGCTCTAAGTCATTGCCTCTTAAAAGAAAACAGAAGTTACACTCCACACTAGAAAGGCAAGGTTCCCTTAAGTGGCTATATTCACTTAGTATTGAGGGTTTGAACAAGGAACCCCTATGCTCACCAAGCTCAGAGGGTAAGCATGGCCTGTGGGAAGGAATGGGCTTCTGCTTCTCTAGAGCCCTTCTCTGCCTTGAGCAGGAGCCAGGGTTTCCACAGACAGGGACTGCTTTCCAGAATGAGTGATGCCAGGCAGAAAGCACCCATCACTTTGCCTTCTTTTTCCACGCCCTAATGTGAATCGTCCCTCTCCTATCCTCTGAGCCATTACTCAGGGACTGCCAAGGCAGTGTCCAGAGCAGATCCGATCTTACCTTAGAGCCAGAGACCCCTGCCATTAGTCAGGATATTTAAGGATGGATTTGGACAAGAGGGCCAACTTGAGGGCATTAGTGACTTCCCCATGTAACAGTCCTGTGGTCACCAGGTTTCTGGTTCCCTGGGAGTTAAAGTGGGTAGTAGGACCCCAGACAAGGCCATTTAAAGCTGCCCATGTTTAAAATCTTGATTCTTCCTTGTTAATCAGGGCTGTACTCATGTCGGACTCACTCAGGTCAACGGCTTTTTTACTCTCCAGATTTTGGGGGTGATGAAGAAGCATTTTGAAACAGTGTTTTTCTAGCTGAAGTGTCTGCCTATTGAGGATGATTCTAGATTAGAAGAGATCCTATCATATCAAATCAGATTTTGAAAAATCAGGAATGTGTTTAAAACTGACAGTGGTTGTTAGGGAAGGTTCCAACCCCCCCCCCAGCCCCCCAGCCCACCCTCCTGTGGGCCGTCTTTCATGCCATCCTCTTTAAGCAGTCTTTCTCTCCTCCCTCATTTTTTGCATGCCTGGCTTCTGGTGCCAAGGACTTTGAAGTAGGAAACAGCCCCTGACTAAGCTGGATCGAGAAAGAACTTTCTTGAGAATGTGGCTTCCAGAATCCCAGAATGAACCTAAATTATAGGGAGCATCCAAAGATTTGTAGCCTGGAAGTTTCTTTCCATGATAACCATAATCACTTTTCACCTTCTAGATTTTACATTATCAGCTCCCACCAGCATCTCTCTAGAGGGTCAGGAGAGGAGTCCATGGGTTTAGAAGTGATAAGGAAACTTTGGCTGGCACCCCAACCTGCCTTAGTAAGTCATACCTTCCAGTCACTGAATTGATTATTACGGGAAAGTAGCCTGGCTTTTACTGGAGGGGTCTGACTTCCTCACAGCCAATCTCATGGCAGCAGCTCTAGTCTGATAACAAGAGTTTAGGTCATTTATACAATTCCACCCCCCTTTAAAAGGAGATCATGGTACAAAAACCCAGGAAGAGCCGTTACAGTGTGAAGACCTCTCTGATTATAAGGCAAGGGACTTCTCTTCACCACAACTGGGGAGTCAGTAGATTGGAGAGTTTTTGTTTTCAGAGCCAGGGCAGTGGACTTACGGGGATATGATGGAGTGGGGTGGGTTTTCCTGCGAGGCTTTGTATAATGCTGAATGTGTCCAGAGGGACAAGTTTGCAGAACCTCATGTTGGTATATTAAAGAAATAATAAAATTTAAAAAGCACTTTAGGTTATTTTATCTTTAACCCAATTGCTGCAGTTTCTTTTGTGTATATATACGTATATATATATACTTTCCACAAAGTTTTATTTTTTGCTCAGAATAAAAAGTTAAATTGAGGTGTGAAAAGAAAAGCACTTACCTTAGTGCAATATGTGTAGCTTGACAGTCGTTGTCCCATGTGGCCCGGACCTGGCCACCATTTTTAACGCTTGATCAGCCCTGCACTATGAGGCTATAGGGAAACCCTATTATGCATTCTCAGTAATTGTTCAATCTATGCAAGCCTTCCCCCTGTGCCCCGCGGGCTCCCCCCTCAGGCTCTCTGAAGAACTGCTTTTGTTTTCTTCTACCGACTGTTGAGGCCCTTTACACCACTTCTTGGTACATTGCCAGCTTTTCCCTTTCCAAGTGACGCCTAAAAGGAAGGAGCAGGTTGTTCCTATGCAGAAACCTGGTACCTACTAGACTTCTATTTGTAATCATGTCCATTATTACAGAGATCTCCAGAATTTCAAAACCATTGATTTGTGCAAATGCAGCAATATTGCTGAAGAGTTTACAATTTCTCTACAATCAGAAATATGTTAGTGGTGGTGGGCAACATGAGATGCACCCATACTGCCTATTTTCTCTTTAAGAGATATCCAACCATTATTAAATGCAGTAAACAAGTGTGTTTATAATCTGGTTTACCAACTTACCTCCTTCCCTATCCCTCTTAACTTTTTCCCATTTTATCTTCCATTCTCAGGCTAATATAGAGAAATTTTAAAATACACTTCAGCCAAAGTAGAGAAATTCCCATAGAACCAATATTATGCAAATAATTCTATTGTAACAGGAAACTGTCCATTCCTTAATATTTGTAAGGTGGAGACAGCACAACCGAATCATCCATATTTCTGATTGGTGGGTCAGTATAACCTATTTCCTCCTGCATATTTTTTGCTTGGGAAGAAGGAAGGGTCTCGTTTTTCTTCTCATGCCCTTTGGGGAAGCTGATGAGCAGTCTGGGCATTTCTATATCTTCTATTCAAGGAAGGCTTCTCATTCTGCACTGAAACATGCAAATTAAACTGGATCTTCATGTCAATGTGTACATAGTACAAGCTTTTTTTACTGGAAGTGTGGTTTAAAACAATACACTGCCCTTTTGGTGGTGTGCCTGCCGGGCTAAAAATTGGGTGATAATGTAGTGTCACTTTCTCAGCTCGATTTCTACTCTTTCTTATGGGAAAATTTTTTCGTAAAACCTTTTTCACCAAAACCCAGGGGTGTTTTTGCAGTATCCTTGTAGTGGTGCCAAGCCAGAGGCTTCTCTTGCCCTTTCTTCTCCTGGGTTCTCAGGCGTCCTGAGGGTTCTGTTTGGCTCATCAATCCACAGCCTTTCTGTTTTGAGAATGTGGTGGGTAGGGTTCAGGGGCCCAAGGTGGCTGCTCCCTTTCCAGGTGAGCTCTTTCTCATCACTGTGGAAAAGGTAGCTGGAAACTGACTTTTGCTGAATCTCTGGCTCAGATCTTCTAGCCAGGAAAGGCAAGAGTCCCTGAGAGCCTTCTTTTTTTGACATACACTAGTCATTGGCCAATGGTCTAGGTGACAGTTTTTTAAATCCCAAATAGTTTTATTTGAATTATGTAATAGTGTATCAAATTTATTTAAGTGTGAAACATGGGAACAACAGACTTCCACTGAGCGATATGAAAACGTTACAGGTTCAGTACTTCCAAAGGAAGAAACCTCCAAACCCCAAAAAAGAGTAAATATGAATTTGTATTTTTCAAGAATGTGAAATAATGGTGTTTGCTTAATTGCTCATTTTGTATAAACTTAATATTGTACTTTAAAATATCTGCTAAGAAGTGAAAATTTAACTTTTTGGAATTGAAAAAGCAATATTAAATACTAATGAAATCCTAATTAAATGCTTATTTAAATCTGGTAGTATTGTGGCATTTCTTCCCAGTCCTGTCAGTGGTTGATGGTTTTCAACTATTTCCCCCTTCTCAGCCATCAGTCTTGAAAAAGAAAGGAAAAGATCGGTCACCAAGAAAGTCTGCAGGTTTCCTTTTAATCAGGGTGTTTTGTGGGGCTAGGAGCCCCCAAAGCATGAAATGGACAAGTTAATACCACCTCGATTCCCCCAGAGCAGACCAGATCATGCTGGCGAGCACTGCAGGTCTGCCCAAATTCAGGTATCAGACTGGGCATTCCTTGGCTACATTTCAAAGCACAGCACCACCTTCATTCAGCCAGGATGAAGTGGGAGTGAACCCAGCTGCTAGCTGAGCTGCCACACTAGGCTTGAAGACCAACTAACAGCCACTGCCTGTGAAGACTGGCCCCTTTACTTAAAGGGAGTTGTTCAGAATCCAGCCACCAACCCCGGGGAGAGAGAGAAGTCAGGGTGTCCGGCCCGGGGATGGTCATGGCTCCGCTGCTCCATCACCAGCATCCTTTGGAAAGCCACCTCTCCCAGAGACAGCTGGCTGGGGGGACGCTGCGGGTTTGGCTGAGACGTTCTGGATGGAACAGAAAGGAAGAAAGTGAGGCTGGGAGGAAAGGCCTTAAACTAGGCCCTGCAAGGGTATGTTCACTTTGCATTTGAATAGAGGGCACTTAACTTTTTCAAGCCACCCAGTTAAAATAGGGTTAAAGGCAAGCGCAGTGAAGACACGCTAACACTCCTCCTGGAAGAGCTAGGTCTTCGCAGAGCCGGGGGACCCCACCCTCCAGGCCCAGCCCAGTGGGCACTGACCCCGCCACCAGCTGGCTCCGGACGCCGGCGGCCCAGCTGCCGCAGCATCTCCTCACAGGCGGCAATGGTGTCCAGGAGCTGCCGCTGCCGCTGCTCCACCGCGTCCAGCAGCTGCTGGGCGCGCTCATCCCGGGGCGGCTGCGGGGGTGGCCTCCCGCCGAGCCCCAGCCCCGCCTTCCCGCGGTCCACGCCTGCAGCCTCCCTGCCCGGGAGAGGTAGAGACAGTCAGGGCCCGCGCTTGCGCGGGGTCGAGCCCCTTCCCTCCCCCGCTGCCCCGACGGGCCCTCTCTCACCCCCGTGACCAGTCTGAGCCTGGGCCCCATTCCATCTCCGCCTGCGCGGCCCGACCACCGCCCCCTTTTCAGCCGCCCCCCTCCCCAGCGCTGCGCTTAGGACTCCGCAAAGCTGTGCCCCGCCCCGTCCCCACCGGTCTCCTTCAATCCTCTTGGGGGTCGCGGTCCCTTTAAGGTGTTGGGCGCGGAGGTGGGGCCGAGTCTCCTGGACCGGAAGTTGACTGGGAGCGTCACTTCCTCCCGGAAGCAGGCCTTGGCGTATGTCTCCGGCGCGTCCGTGCAGGGGGCTGAGAGCCGCGGTGGCTGGCAGCTTGGGTTTGAGTGAGGGGCCGGCGGGCTCTGCCCGGAGCGGCCGCCTCCTCCGCCCGCCAGCCACCTTTGCAGTGGCGCCTGGGACTCGGCTGTTGCGACTCCCAGGGAGTGGGGCCGTGCGGGCTGCGAGCCCCGAGCGCGCCGGCTGGACCGAAGCTCTACGGGCCGCCGTGGCCGAGCTGCGCGCCGGCGCCGTGGTGGCCGTCCCCACTGACACGCTGTACGGCCTCGCTTGCTCGGCGAGTTGCTCGGCGGCACTGGGAGATGTGTACCGCCTCAAGGGCCGTAGCGAGACTAAGCCACTGGCCGTGTGCTTGAGCCGCGTGGCCGACGTCTACAGGTGAGGCTGCCTGGACCCGGCCCCACTGAGGGCGGCACCGCGGGAGGGGCTTCCGGTGACAGGCTTGGGAGACTGAGGCGCAGAAGGCGGGAGGGGCTTGTCCAAGCTCCCGGAGGAATCCAGAACAGGATTCCTTGACCATTGAGCTCTCTAGATGCTGAGGCTCGGCGATGAACCACAGGCCCTTATCTCCTGGTGTGTGTTCCCATTGGGAGGAGATTTTATGCTTAAAAAAGGAAACAATAGAGGTCACTTAATAGGGAGTGTCATTTATAGAGACAGGAGGCATGTGGTTTCCAAGCTTGAAGTGAGCCCTAAAACCCGAAAAATGAAGCTGTGAGGCTGTTGGGTCCCATTTCAGGCCCCAGGAATCCCGTTCCGCCTCTGCGTGGAGTTTGGGGAAAGACCAGCGAGCCAACCCAAACCCAGTGCCTTAGAGTCTAGTCATACTCTCAGTGACCCTCCAGCGAGTTTCCAAGGCTGGAGACTTTAAAAGGAGCAGATTGCCACATCTTTGCCCTTCAGGGTCGCTGGTGGGTTTGGATAACAGAACAGCATGTAACCCACTGCACCACAAGGGCTCTTTTGGCTAACTACTGATGGAGTTACACCTGTTTCCCAGGTACTGCCATGTAAGAGTTCCCAAGGAGCTCCTCAAAGATCTTTTGCCAGGACCAGTGACCCTGGTGATGGAACGCACAGAGGAACTCAACAAGGACTTAAACCCCTTCACTTCTGTGAGTTAGATTTCCTATTGTGTCCCTAGACTATTGGCCATTTTGCTTTCAGTCAAAGCCAGACAAAACCCATTCCCCATCCCTTCCAACTTTTCTGATGGTCCCCTTTTGTCTTGCCTTGTAGCTCATAGGTATCAGGATTCCTGATCATGCCTTCATGCAGGACTTGGCCCAGGTGTTTGGGGGACCTCTTGCACTCACCAGTGCCAACCTCAGCTCCCAGGCCAGTTCTCTGACTGTCACGGTGAGAGCCACCAATGCACTGTGATTGCTTAGCAGAGAGAGTGGTCCTTCTGCTGTAACAGTGGAGGGTTTACCCAGTTGGCAGTGCTTAGGGGTTGTGGGAAAAGATCCAAAAAGTAAAGGATTTGGGGAAGGTTGTATTACAAAATCAGAAACCATGGGGACAGTTTGTGTTTTCTTTTTACAATGTCCTCTGGGTGCTAGAGATGATGAATGTGCTCTGCTGCTGAACACAGGAGTGGAGATTCACGATCATCCAGAGGCTTCTTGGGGAAAAGGCATAGTAAACTTCTGAAAACTCAGCTGTTAAAAGTCCTGTGCAGCATAGTTCTCTCACTCATGTGGAGTCACCAGAAGTTGGGTGTTTTGTTTTTTTTCCTTTAAGGTTAAAACATAAGAAAGATTATAAGTTGTCTTGGTTATCTTGAGCTGTTATAAAGAAGATACCACAATTGGAGGGCTTTAACAGACAAATTTATGCTCTCATTGTTGAGGAGGCTAGAAGTCCACATGCAGGGTGCCATCTAAAGGGGGAGACCTTTGTCTTGTCAATTCTGAAGGAAGTTCCTTGTCTTTAGCATCTGTAGATTTGGCAATCCTTGGCCTTGAAATATATGTAAGGTAGGAACAGTACAGGACACAGCCTAGTCAGGAATGCCCATCATCCCATCCCTTGGATGGGATTGAGCAAGTTTTCTTCATTCTCCTCTTATCAGGTCCCTCTCAGAGTGCTACAGCTGGAAAGACCATTAGTGAGCATCTTGCCCAGCTTTCTTTTGTTTTACAAATGGAGCTAAAGTAACTTTCTCAGGGTTACACAGATGTAGAGTAACATTCAAGGTTATAACCCCTATCTCTAGATTCTGACATGTACTTAACAATGCTCCAGTGAAGCAATGTGTGGGATTTCCCCTGGCACAAGTGTTTCTTTAGGCTCTGTTGTTACATTTGTTGTTAGACCTCTTTGAGTCTATTTTTGGTTCAGTGACTCCCATGTGACAGAATAGAGCTGTCCCATTGGGCTTTCTAGGCTATAATCTTTATTGGAAGAGATCAACAGTTCTTTCTTTAATTGTTTTGCTAAGTGCATTTGAACCACCAAACTTTTGATTAGTAGCCAAACACTTGACAGGTTATTTGGAGCTGTCCCTCGGAGGGCTCTAAATCTCATTGCAAGAAGGGCTTTGGGTGCTAAAGTAATGTTTTTATTCTTGACTAAGTGAGTTTCTGTTCCCTGCTTAGGAGAAGTTACCTTTTAAAACTGGTCAGCCTTTGTATTATGAATCCAATGTGTAGTATGAGATCATTACAGGTGCCAAGAATCATGTTCACATTCCTTTTAATCCTCAGGAGTTCCAAGACCTCTGGCCTCAGTTGTCCCTAGTCATTGATGGGGGGCCAATTGGTGATGGGCAGAGCCCTGAGTATCGCCTTGGCTCTACTGTCATTGACTTATCTGTTCCTGGAAGGTTTGGCATCATTCGTCCAGGCTGGTGAGTCTCTTTTCTATGGCACATGGGTAGAAAACAAAACCTTGTAGAGTTAAGATTGTTATGCTTACCTAGCTCTCAGAGTGAGGTGGGTAGATGTGGAAAAGTAGATGTAGTGAGACTATGTTTGTAGCATTCTGCTGACCTTTTCAGGTTTCAAAAGGCTTCCCTCCAAGGGTTTGGTGAACAGGGCCTAGAAAGGACATTGAGTTTAGACAGTCCTGATTATCACACCCTGATGGACTCACAGCTCTGAGAAGTCAGCCTGTAACACTATTCCTTTTCTTCCTCAGTGCCCTGGAAAGTACTACATCCATTCTCCAACAGAAGTATGGACTGCTCCCCTCGGATGGACCCTGCTTGTGAAACTTGGGAGGAGAGAGGCCCAAGGACTGGTGTGGACACTATGTGTCTGTCATCATTTGGTTTGTCCTCATGTGTTTGGCAAGGCCTCATTTGTAGAGGCTGCTGGGGCTTCGTTACTAGCCTGATCTATTTGAGCAACACATCTCTGAACATGGTAGACCAATCACCAGAAGCTACTGGTTTAGCCTTACACTTGGGGAAAAGTATGTATTTATGATCTTTTATTTCATTCAAAAACAGAAAAAAGGATTAAAGGGAGAGGCATTTTTTTTTTTTTAGGTTTTTAGCCGATTTAAGTTATTTCAAGAAAACTTAAAATCTAGTGACAGCTATATAGTCTTGGTGGGTGTGGCTTTTAAGGTGACCAAAGACATGGATGGGCTTAGATTGCTGAAGCTAGGACCAGGTTAAGGTAAAGACGTAGAGCACAGGCCAGGCATCATTTCCTCCGAACCAGGGGGGCTAGTTGTACACTGTACTTGTCTGCCAGGGAGAGTCACTCTTTCTTGGGTTAATGGTAGGGAGTCGGCTCAGTTGGCAGACGGGGGGAGCAGGGTGAGGACACGAAATTAAAAAATTGTGAAAATTAAAAAAAAAAAAAAGAGGCTGTAAATCACATGGGAGGAGCAACTCTGACCACTAGGCCACCAGAGCTCACTGTTAATAAATGCCCTGCCTAGTCTGCCCCTTCTGCCTCCTCTCCTCCCTTTTTAAAACCAGGAGTTAAAGATTAATGTTATTTTAAAAATATTTTATAATTGCTTTTAGCTCTACTTCTTAATTATTTAATAGGTTTAAAAACTTTAGCATACCTGACAAAAGTAGGCCGATCTTCTTAATATAGATGTAGAGCTGGCTACCACAACCACACCCTCATCCTTATAACAAACAGATGGTGGTAAACAAGCTCAGCTCATGGGATGCAGTGGAAGGAGTTTGATTTCCCACACCCAGCATATTTTCCTTTAATTACAGTTAATTCGCCGGATCTCTTTTCCCATTGTGTTTGGAACAAACTTTGCTCAACTATAATTCTATTTCCTTTTCTTTCCTTTTTTCCCCCTTACAAGCTCTTGTTATGCCATTCATTTAGGACTTCTCTGGTACACAAGAAAGAAAAGGTAGCCTTTTGGCATATATCAAACAAAATGTGGTAAAACCATAGAATAAATATTGTTCAGGAATAAAGAAAGGATTAAAAAAAATGAAGAAAGGATAAACTATCATTACATGTTTTAATATGCATGAAGCTCAGAAACATCATGCTAGGTGAAAGATCCTGTATTCAAGAGATCACATATTTTATGACTACTTATAGGAAATGTCTAGAAAAGACATTTCTAAAGAAACAGAAAGCAAGTTAGATTTTTCATAGGACTGGGGCTGTGAAGAGGAATGGCCAGTCAAAACAATTTTATTTTTAATTATTCAAGTGTGCTTTTTGAAAAAGTTTTTAATTGTATTTTGCATGAAAATTTACAGATCAGTTTGATGTATCATTCAACCATACTTTGTTTTATGACCTTGATGACTATCCTCAACACTCTTCCCACAATCTCTCTGTAGTTCTTGTTTCCATTTATCCTTCTATCCTCTCCCTTCCTGCTCTCTCAGCTCTATCCCTGGGCCACTGCTGCCCTTTTTATCTTGTATGATTGATTATGCTAAGGACTGGTACCTTCCTGTGTACTTAACTCTCTTTATAGATATGTCTACTGTTTGATTGAAAGTTGTGGCAAAGCGGAGGGACACTTTTAAGGAAATGCTGTTAAATTAAGTTTCAACACAGTTTGCAGAGTTCTGTGAATTTACTAAAAATCATTGAGTTCTACATTCAAAACAGATGATTTTTTTGTATGTAAACCACACTTCAATAAAACTGAGTTTTTCACAGAACATAATAGGACCTTAACTAACACTACACATCTTATTACTTCTAAATGAGTCATAACCCTAACTACAAAATTTAAGATGATAAATGGTAGAAAAAAATAAAGGAGAAAGAATTTGGGACCTTGAATTAAAGAGTTCTTGACACAACACCAAAAGTATAATCCTTAAAAGAAAAATCTGAGTAGTTGCTATATGAAAAAAAAAAAGAGGAGTGAAGGACAAATCCAAAGATTTTGGCTCAATAGCAAAGAGTAGGCTTAAAGGGAAAAATAAAAAGGTTGGTTTTACTAATGACAATGAAAACACCACTTGCCAAAACCTCTGGGAAGCAGCCAAAGCAGTAATCAGAGGTCAACTTATAGCAATAAGCAAACACATCA